ATTACTCGCTTAACGAGCGACGTTTCGCATAACGAGTGACGATGAAAAGAGAAGTCCAGGATTGCGCACTATACGAGTATTTCACTATAAGAGTAAAAATCTGGAAAATGTGGAACGGATTAAACTCGCAAGTTTCCACTGTATATCTCATGCTAAAAATGAACATATCGTTATGAATTTATTTAATAATGTTTTCTAAATATTTCTATAATATAATATTTTTAAGGTTTTAGACTAAACAAATATATTGTTAATATTAAATAAGAGTTTTCTTAATAATTCTTTGTAATATGTTGTAGAAATATTACTTGAATAGACTCGAATGAATCCTCAAAAATTAACTCAGTATTTTTATTATTTGTATAAAAAAAAATAGTTTGGAGAGCAAGCAAATCCGTATGAAAGTCGATCACCTTTGCTCCGGCACTACAATCGTTTATTCACGATGCAGGGTTAAAGCCAGTCTCATAAATCTGTAATCACTAAGTACATCAACCTACACTATACATGGTAATGTATACGAATTATTCAATCTTTAGTATCTGTACTGCATATTTAAATATTAATGCATTTACATATACATAAATAACAGATCATTCATTTCTTTACGAAAGTATATAACAATATTGTATTTACTTAAATTTGAAATAAAGAGATCATCAACTTATTTGTTTCATCATCAAAACTTCTTCCGAATGTATAGGATAAAAAATATCAATCAAAATTATATATAACAGGCATGATTAATAATTTGAACTTCAGATTTCTTTGTTACCATTTCATTTTTTTTTAATAAAAAAAAACTTTGCATCAAACGAAGGTCAACTAAATAAATATAAGAAAGCAACATAACAACATTTACTCGAATATTTATGTGCAGCAGGTAGTAAATTTTTTTCTTCGAGTTGTGGTTAATTCTGCTTGATTCGTCTTACAAGGCTTCAACAATTAACGAAGATTACTAAAAAATTGCTTCCCAGAATTGTATTGTAGATAAAACAAAATCAGAATTAAACCTCGACCATAATATACAATTAATTTAATGTTAACTTAATTTCATGGAAAATAAATAATGAAAGCATTATATTTAATTTAATTGAGGAAGTAATTTTCTTAATTATTTTCAATTAAAATTTGTTTATAATTTTATTAACACGCGTTTTGGAATATATAACACTATATGTTTAGAATCAATATGGATATAGTTTAATGAATACAAAAATAAACATATAACTGTGTCGCATATATAATATTTAGTTGACTAACGTCACTGAAGCAGTGTTTCATGGTACGCAGAAACGAGTTTTATGTTGTTGTTTTTTTTTATATTGAAGCATATTTGTATCGATTTTAAAGTGTGGCATAAATCTTTACTCACTTCAGAATATATTTTTTATTTTATTTAAGAAATGACTGCGTGTTATGTGAAATGCACTATCGTAAATTACAGGTAATCATCATGAATGAAGCATCAAGTGTTCATAAATAGCTTCTAAACTATTAATTTAATATAAATGGTTTCAATTAAACGTTATTTTTATAGCGTTTAACTGGAGATTTATGAGATAAATAAATCCTTGATGTAATGGAATTTGACCAATTATTATCTAATAAACAATTAATAATAAACCACAGTTTATTATAAATCGCTTAATCATCATACAGCATAGATTTGTCTAAAACAATTTTGAATATAAAATTTGAAGAAAAAAAAAATTAATGTATGAATATTAATTAAGGATCGGGCATTTACGTATCAACAAAAGATAGACTACGGTAAATGCTAACACTTGTTTCGTGCGTAGCGTAAATCATTATTGATATCGTTGATGCCTGGGCGAAACCCAGCACTGCAAGTTTGTATATTCTGGTCTCCAAGGAGACCAACCGCCTTCAATTGCAAAGCCTGGGATTTCTGTTAGCAACAGATAAGATCGATATATTCCTTATCCGATTCTTAAATTCAATTCAGCTCAATCAAACCCGCATATACACTGCTAAAAAAATCTGGTGGAATATACAAAGGGTGCGGAGATGGAAAATGTACTCGGATAATTTGTAATTATAATTTGTATTTATACCATATAAAAACATGTAAAAAATAAATGAAGAAACGCCAGTTGCTTTCAACAACCTTGATCTTACTATTTCTCGTATACTACATTTTAATAGGCATTTTTTTTTTGTACATAATATTATAAATATATTAAATTACGAGTTTGCTAAATCATAGTAAGTAACATTACGGTTAAGAATAAATTTTATCATTCGCGATTCATTAGATTTTGTAGCAGGAAACATGAGAAATGCCTCGCACAGTGCGGTTTCTATCAGTCCGGATTTACGATAGCACGGTTTGAGGTTTTCAAAACAAAGAAATTCTTAAAAGTTAGTACACAAAATTATTTCTTAATTTGGTTTTTTTCCATTTATAGAGTCAAGTCTATTGTCTTATTATGCATAGGTTTTGCTTTATTAATGTAAGAATTTTCACTATAACAACAAAATGATATAGATCACCTGTTTAAGTACTATCTCCGAAATATTTTGTTTAACTTTAACTAAAAAACATATATCAAGTAAACAATGAATGTGTGTATTTAAATATTTCTCAATTTTCTAGAAAATGAACCATTATAAACGTAAATAACAATATCAGCCGTAATCACAATAAAGACTAATATCAATTAAAACTAATTTCATAAACCAATTTTTATATACAATTTTCTATTTGTAATTCTAGATAATAAAAAAACGTTATTGCGACAGAACTGAGAGATATATGAATTACAACTATGGTTTTGTTCACTTGCGTCTCGAGTTTCTCGCCTGAATATACATAATATGCGTGTGAAACCAGAAAAATCCTTCAGGATATATCATTATATATATCTTCGAAAATGATAATACAGGAAAACTCCTTTTACAACAACGTCACACCTAGTTTAAATGACCTACTGTATAAATAACTCCTTCCTTTTGTTAATACTCTCCTTGAGCTCAAACCGTCCGTATTTAAATTATACGATCTTATTGTTACAAATTATTACAGCTTGAAAAAATAATGTGATTGAAT